GATTTATTTATTCTAGACAATGCCAATTACTAGAACAAAAGAGATAGATATTATGAAAGTATAGGACTTAGTAAGTACAGATATAAATTTGATCTCTTCGAAGTATTCCAGGTTGATAAATATAAATTTTAGCCATAAGAGAGTTTATAAAAAATAAACTATTAAAAATATTATGTTATGCTGTTCATTTGTCACTCTTATGAAAAAAAATTAGTTAACGAATGCTAAAAAATTGTATATTATATATTTTATATAAATCTGTTCGAGTTAAAATAATATTAATAATATTGATAATATTGATTATATAGCAAAAGTGGATTTGTGTTTAATATCATTTGATATTGCTGGATCTTAATTTGGTTTCGACTTAATACGCAATATTGATAATATTGATTATTATTATATAGCAAAGTAGATTCGTGTTTAATACTATTTGATATTGCTGAATCTCAATTTGGTTCCAATCTGATTGGCAAATTTGGGTTAATAAAGCAACATTTTTGTTCAATAAACGAGTATTTTTGCTTATTTGAAATTGATAAATTTTGCTTAGTTGTTCAATTCTTGCACCTGCTAAAAGTATAAAAACAATTTACTAAAAAATAGTTATTTATAAATATAAAAATATTTATCTTCATTTAATATTTGAATTCGATTCATTTTATATGATGATAATTGTCTATTGAGTTTTATAAAAGAATTCTTAATTTCTGTGCATCGCTTTTGTGCATATTTATTACGAATTAGATATTTTAATTTAATATTTTTATACGAATAGTCAGGTGTTTTTTGTAGAGGACTTGAAGTAATCATAATTATATCGAAATATAAATTTGAAAAACAGGTTTTGCCAAGGATATATATATTTTGCTCAGTATTATATATGAAATCGATTTTAGTGATAAATCTATATTAAATGATGTATATTGATTTTAAATACAATAAAGAAGTATTTTTATATTATCTGATGCTTAAAGTATTGAAGTTGATTAATGTGTAAGAAAGACTGGTTAAATACTTATCTTTTTTTATAATATATTTGATAGAACAAAATACACACAAATTAACTAATTTTTGCAAATGTTTCTTACATAATTAAATAATTTAGAATTAATTTAGAATTGTTTTTAATTGATTTAAAATACTTGAGTGTATTTAAAAACAACATATATTTTTATCAATCCTGTAAATCTTTTCAAAAAAAAATTTAATCCTTGCTTTTTTTAAGTAAAAAAATAATGATATCATTTAGACATTTTATTCAACTTATTCTCTTAACTATCATACCACATTTCATTATCTCTACCACTATTCCTCATACTTTTTATTGTAATCATTATGCGCCAAGTGCAGCTTCCTTTAATACTTCAATCGCTAATGTAGCCTTGAAAGTTTCTGCACAACAAGGTCTATGTGTAGAAATTAGCAGTTCGGGTGAATATTCGAATGGAAGCACATTTACAGTCTTCAAAATTACTTATGCTAAGCCTATTTGTTTTGGTGATATAGCTGGTGTTCAAGATAGTAGAGGGAGTTCTGTTTGGTTCTTGTCTTCGAAAGGATGGATTTGGTCTGGCTTGACAATGAATCCAAATTGAAATTTATCTTGTTAATAACAATATATTTTTAGCACAGTTATTGACATATTTTTATTTCATATATTTATATTAAAACTTCATTAAAATAATTAGTAAATTTCACAAGTTTAAGTTACTATTATTTGGTTATTATCGTAAGTAATATTTGGATGATAAAATACAAATTACTTGAAGAATTAATAAACAATTTTATTTCACATAAGTTGATCGAAAGATTGTATTCAAAAAAAAAATATAACAAGAATGGAGAGTTCACGTGACCTGTTAACAATATGTAATTAAAATACTGGTAAAAACTTTCGGTCTTTGTAACATAACAAGCAAAAATAATGAACAATAATTGTAATAATTTGCTTGTAATTAATTTTTCTAAATTGATTAAATGAACTTTTTTTTATTAAGTCAAAATTCACATTGAAATTATAATAAATTATATTTTAAAAATATAATTTGATTGATTAAATCAATATCTAGATCTAAACTGTGATTTTTTATACTTGAAAACAGTCCTCCATTAGGAGCAGAAAAGGCTAGGATTGCTAGATATTTCCTTGCAAGTTTTGCCATCGTAGGAAACAAATGTTTATTCTCATGCCACCATGCCAAAGGATTATTTTCTTTAGTTATAGGCAATTGAGATAAATCAAGATATTTGTCAAACTCAGTTTGTACATTTTCTTGAAAATATATTTGAAAAAATGTCAACATTTTTGAGTCCTTATCTAAATTGTTGGGAGTTACTGGTTTTACAAGTTCTGTAAATTGTTCCCGAAGTTTATCTAAAATTTGACATCGAAGAACCTATATAAAAAAAAACCGTATTATTTTATTTTTTTCTTAATGCATTCAAACAATTAAAAGTATTATTTACTCTATCAATATAAAGTATCTTTTTGAAATGAGGATCAAAAAAAAATCCATATAGTCCAAGAATTGAAGATACGCCAAAGTTTTTTGTAAGAATATCTAGTATATTATTTATTATTTGCTGAATAACATCATTTTTAGATTGATAAATATTAAGACGTTGTCTAAGATTTTCAATTGCTGGGGTCACAAAACTCAATGCAGGATATTTTGAACCTTTTAACATTTCAGTTAATTCATAGAATAAATTTAAGATAATGTCAAGTTCTCTACATATATCAAATTCATTATCTGAAAACATATTTTCTTTTAGTTTTTCATTTTCTGCACTAAATATCAAATTGAAGGTTGCAAAATTATTAAACGATAAATAGCACAATATATCGAACTTCAATCTTTGTCTACTTTTACAATATCCAATGGGTGCTTGATATTTGAATCAATTTGCTACTAAATGTCTCTTAATTTTTGTCGATTCGTGTTATTGCTTAAAATTTCGATCAAATTTTTTGATTTGTTTATAATATCATTGGCAAAAGAAAGCGCTGATTCAACGCTAAATTGTAAAATATCTGCAAAACATGAAATGATTTCAATTTGCATTTGTGGCAAAGACTCTTTCACAACGTTATCAATATTGTTTGTAGTAATACTAATGATATTTTCATAAGTTAATTTAGATTTATATAATTGACTCTGAAGTTTTTCGAAAAGTTCCGATGTCCCATAAAATTCGTCACGTAAAGAACAACTTCAATTAATTTGAAATCATGTGTAAGCCAATAACAAGTTACTTCAAAATAAGAGTGTGTCCAAATATCTAAAGTAATAGCTAGAAACTTAGCAGTTTCTATAATTTTCTTTTGAATGAGCATTTCAGTTCTATTATATGTATTAATAAATATATTTCTTACGATATCACTATCAGGAAGTTTAAATCTTGAATCAAGTAAACTACAAAATTGTCTAAATTCATTATTATCAACAATTGATAGTGGAAAAGTGCAGGAAAGTAGCATTCTTATTAAACTATAAATATATTGTGAATTTGAATTTGAACATAAATTATCAGAAATTTTTCTTTTTTTTTGAGGAACATTAAAAATATTTTTATTAATTTCAGTCGTCTTCTTTTTATATTCTGCTTTTGAATTTTCAGGTAAGCAATCCCATAAATTTAAAATAATATTTGAAATTTCTTGATTATTTAAATTTGGAAACTGTGAGGAAATAGTGTCACGTACGTCAATTGAAAATAAAAGAAAAGGAAAGAAAAGTTTATTTTGATCTTCAAGTTCAAACACCATATTTTTTTTTTTTTTTTTTTTCTGATAATCGCAAATTACTTATTTAAATAGAATTTAAGTAGTATATATATATATATTTGAATTCAATATTGTGAATTTTTAATTGAATTTTTAATCGTGAATTGCTTATTAATTTAATTTAATTTAAATTTAATTAATGAATTGTTTAATTTAGATCAAATTGTGTATTGATTGAATGTTATTGATCTTACTACAAGGGCATCTATAAATTTAGTTAATCTAGTACTGTATTATATACGTTTGGTTTTTTTTGGTTTCAATAAGAATTACTTTTCATATTAAAATTAAAGGTGATAGCTACAGAAACAAATACTCTAAGCAAAAATGTCTGATTTTACTCTTAAAGAAGACTGGTTTCATAGTGATTTACTTAAAATTTTTGCGTTGAATATACTAAAAAATTCTCAAGGTGTTGAAATCTGTAGCATTAATATGGAACAATATTCATGCCAAAGACAATGTTAAGGACAAAATTGTGGCAGAGAAATTTTTACTTTTCAACTAATTATTCTCCTGTCTTGTGGGTATGCGTTTTATTTATATTGCGCTAATTTTATCTTGGTCCCAGAAATGTGTCCTAAATGTTTAGTTCAACCAGAAATTCGTGTTGATGAAATTGAAATTATACGTAAACGTAAGAAAAAAACAATTCAATTTAAAGATTCTTAAAAATTTAAAAAACTTGTTAATGAGTTATTGAATGAGGCCGTACAAGATACTGCACAATCTCTTTTTGAGTCTAGCACTAGCTTTACTACTGACTTAAATGAGCTTAATAATCAGATTTCCTTTTCTAAAAAAAAATACAATGAATCAATTCATGAAGTTCTTATTCATTATTACGACCTCAAAGAGGCTTTATCAAAAGAATATATTCGTTTCTTTAATATATCACATAATAATAACACTTCAAAACACCAAGTTATTTAGGAATTTAAGCGGCAACTAAATATTGATACTTTAGATATAGCACATAGTCAAAGAAAAGTATGGAGTGAAAAAATCTATAGCCTCTTTAGTTGTTTTAACACAGACCAAAATAAATTTAAAGGCAAAGAAGTGATCAATCGGATTAGAACTTTTTCTTTATCAAGTATCTCAAGTTTAAGTTGGGATAATATTAACATAGTAAAAAAATATATAATGGATAAATGTAATCAATGCAATAGAAGGCAACATAATTTTGCATCCATTGATGATCCTCTAATTCAAGAAAACTCTACTTCATCTACAAGAAATGACAAAAGAGAATATATCTTTATTTGATTGTGCATAAAATGCTAGCCAGTTTGTCGATGTTGTAAGTTTTGGTGAGTAATATCTATATGTGTGCAGTATTGGATAATTGACAGAAAAATTATTGGGTAAGATATCCTTTGACATGCATGTCAAATTGCAAAATTTAAAACTAGCTTGTTCTAAGTGAAGTGCTTATAGTGATGTAATAAACAACGGAATAAAATAACTATCATCGGCTAAGTTTTAATTTGAAAAGAAGAAAATAATTTCATGATTATTTTTTATTTTTATGATACAGATTTTTGATTTAATAAAAATTTTATTCTAATAAAAAATTATTCGATCATTCGGGGCTTTGCAGTAGAAAGGGAGGATATGACCCCAAAATGAAAAAACTATTTTGTACATTACTTGGAACAAGTTCTTGCTAACAATAGCACAAGCCTATCACATTATCCAACATTTGATTTTCATTGACTTGATTAATTTTTTTGTAATCTCCAAAGTAAAAAGGATACTAAAGATGTTTTGTAAATTAATATTATAATTGTATCCAATAATTTCGCAATATAACGTTAATATGAGGTAAATAAAATTACTGATCCACCCATAAAGTTGAAAACAAATTTAAAAAAAGAAGTTATTTGTTTTTTTTTATAGCATTGAATTAAAGTTACTAGTGAGTTATGATAAAACCTAATCCAGATAAAAATGCAAGATATAAAAACTGATCTAATTCTGAAAACATTTAAAGCATTGTTTTGTATGCAACTTGAAAGTAAGTTTATATATTTTATTTTTATATTGTTATAAATCAATATATTAGAATGAATCATCATGAATTTTTGTTGTGCAATACTTCATATTTTTAGAGATGTAACAATATAAATAAACTAAGTTATCTGTTTATCGTTATGATTAATTAATAGTTAACTAGGACTTTCATAGAGTATATATATTTTATGGATGATTGTATTGTAAAATTCAAAAGTGTAACATCTCTAGTTTTTATGTTTATATATTATATCTTTAAAATCCATCTAAATAAATTTAATAATTTAAATTGAATTTTTTTATTGATTTTTTAATAGAAAAATTTGGTATTATGTTATTTAATCCAGAATAAAATCGATATTACTAAAATTATCAACTAATAAATTTATTTAAATTGAATTAATATTTAACAATACTTTTGCAAAATTTTGATTTGTCCTTCTTTATTATTTTCTCGAATTGTTTTAAAGAGAATAAATTACCTTCTAAACTTTTGCTGCAGTATATTTAAAATCAGAATCAAATAAATCACATAACTATTATGAATTACACTGAAGAGATTAAGCACCTTAAAAAAATATAGAAATACTAAATCAAGAGTTAAATTTTAGGGAACAGATTATAAAAGATTTGGAAGCCAATATAAATAGGTTTGAAGTAAAGTACACTATATGCCTTAAATATATATCAAATCCTTGCACTATTTCATGTGATCATACTTTTTGTTATTATTGCCTTTATAATTGGGTATGAAGCATTTCTTTAACCATTTAAATTTATACAGTCGTCTTTCTCTATAATTATTAAATTTAATGTGATCATATAGAATTTGTAATTTTAGAGGAGTATGACTGCGATTAAGCAACCATACAATTTGTAATATATTAACTTATTATTTACAGTTCAAAAAACAAAAAAAATATCCGATATGTCATATAAAAATTATAGTAGCACCAGTTTTATCTTTTATTATTAAAGACATAATAGACCATTTTGTTAAAATAAAATCATCAGATGAAGAAATACGGCTTGAAAAAAAAAAAGAGTTCAAAGCTATATTTAATTCGTGGGGAACCTTTTTTGATAAATCTTTTGCAGAAACGAAAAAGAAAAACTCAAATGAAGGTAAGAATTAATTAAGCTGTTAGTTAATAAAAGAGGATTAAATTTAATTATCTTTATGAATTAGTCGTGAATAACAATTGTGCAAACTGTGGACAAAGACGCATAATAGAAATTGAAGATAATACAGACATAGAAATTGAAGAAACTGATGATACAGAAGAAGAAGACTATTTGTTAGATGATAGTTATGACACCTCAGATTCTTTTATTGATGATGATGATGAAACTGATTATATTGGTAAAAAAAAAAGTGACTTTTTATTTTTTTTTTTTTAACAATCTTGAAACTAATAATCTTTTTTAATTATAAAAAATAACAGATGATGAATATGATATCTAATTGATGTAATTGATGTTAAAAAATGAATAGTAAAATTAAATTAGAAATATAATATAGTATAATTTTTTATTTCATAAAGATATAAATTTAAATGGCTTTAAAATATTAATATTTTCTAACAGTTTTAGTCGATTGACTAATTGACTAAAATTTTTAACTGATTCCCAATCCTTGTTCCCATGGTATTTGTATTTTTTGATTTATAAGAATAAAAGGAAAGTTGTTCTAATAATATGAAATAGGTAAAGTTGATATGGTTTGTATTGGAATAAAATGAGATTCTTATTGTGAACTATAGTATTCAGTAAAATGATATGGTTACTTCCACAAATCTTATGTTTTTGATACTCCTGCATTTACTTTTTTGATACTCCTAAATGTACCCCAAAAATTTTATTACTTTTTTGAGACACGGTAATTTTAAAAAAGTCACGTGACCGCCGCGATTAAAATCGACTAATGGAATTGCAGTAAGGTTTTTTTAATCAGAACTAATTTTTTTATTATGTCATTATTATTTGAATTTCTAATAAGGCTTAAAGTTTTTTTAATCAGAACTAATTTTTTATTATGTCATTATTATTTGAATTTCTAATAAGAGTTGCAGAGATAAAAATTACCATCCCAATAGTAGTAAACACATCAAAATTGGCTTAATTATCATGAGATATGAGTAAAAAAATTTTCACAAATTTTTAGTTTTTTTAAAAAAACTTTAAAAATTCGCGAAAATTTTTTTACTTATATCTCATGATAACTAAGCCAATTTTAATGTGTTTACTACTATTGGAATAGTAAGTTTCATCTCTGTAATTCTTATTAGAAATTCAAATAATAATGACATAATAAAAAATTAGTTTCGATTAAAACTTTAAGCCTTTTATTAGAATCTTACTGCAATTCCATTAGTCAATTTAATCATGACAGTCACGTGATTTTTTTAAAATCGCTGTGTCTTAAAAAGTAATAAAATTTTTGGGGTACATTTAGGAGTATCAAAATAGTAAGTGCAGAAGTATCATTTGCGTTACTCCTACCTAAATGGTTGGCAAGCTGGCGAGGTGAGCTTTTTTTTGCTCGTCAAAGAGTGACAAGACTCTCGTCACTATTGTCTTGACAAGCTCGCCAGATTGCTCGCCAGCTTGCCAACTACCTTAACAATTCCTCTAATTATTTAATATATTTAAAAAAATCTTTATTTAAAAATTAGTTTCTAAAATTACTAAAATTAGAATCAACTGTGCTATTTTTATTAATTAATACAGTGTCAATTAAATCATTGAATATAAAGTAACCTTGAGGTTGATAACATTGAAGGTAGTTAAAGTAAGGATTGTGAACAAGCATTATACTTGAAGCTGTAAAATTTGGTCTATATTCATGAAATAAGTAATAAGGTAAAAAACTGTGTATAAGATAACTATCTGAACAGGATCTGATAGGGGTTGTTGAATTGTTATTGACTGATAAAGCTTGGGTATTGTTTGTTTCTTGTATTTGTAATGAATCAATTTTTTTGTTGGATTCAATTTCTGTGGTCTTGATAATATCATTAACTACCAATGAAGGATATTGTTTGTAAGTATTGTTTGATCTACATTTTTTGTTTTTATTCCTAATTGGAATATATTTATAATTTGGATATAATAATTTGTGCTTCAAATTTGCTATTTCTGTTAATTTTTCCCAAAATTTGTATTCATGCTGATTAGAATTTTTAACTGCCACCCATCTTTTCTTCGTGATTTTAGATGATTTTGAAATGTTTTTATCAACTTTTTTTTTACCGTTATTATTATTTTTTTGTAGATTATATTCAGCTGTTATATCTTTAAAAAGAGTATAAACTGATTTTGTAGACATGGGATAGCTTTAGCCTAGTATTGACTGAAGAATTCCATAAAAGATCTAACCATTTTGTAGTTCGAACATCGCCAAACTCACTAATAAAATTATTTACCAAAATTACTATTTCACGAGGTTCATTATTAAAATTAATTTTTTGCTGAGAGATAGGTACTCGACTGAACTCACGTTCTAATTCTGATGGTGAACTAGAACAAGATCTGTTTTTGACTTTTGACATAATTATAGTTTTAAATTTTTGAAATAAAATCATATTTATATAATACAATATGATATCGCAAAAAATAAAATTTAACGACTAGAGTTATTTGTTGAGATAATAACTGTATAAATCAATTGTTATGTATTATTCGTTTACAATGCAGAAAAGGATGGTCATTGAATTTTAACATTTAATCAAAAAAAATGAAGTTCAAAAGTAGAAAAAAAAATAAAATACATTTTTGTTTTTTTTTTTGAATTGGAGTCTGTTCTATAGATATGCGATCAGTTCAAATTATTTATACATAAAACTTCGGTTTAAACTAGTTTTTAGAATTAAATTTTTGAATGATCGCATCTCTACTGTTCTATAATTAAATATCCACCATTTTTTTTGTTTATTTTAATCAATTGCTCAAATTGAATTGTAATTTTTATTTCAATATATTTTAAACAATTTAAGTTATCAATTATCATATAGGTCTCGGATGTCTAAATAGTGTATAGAACTATTTTATCCAGTGTTGGGTATAGTTTAAGTCTAGTTTTAAAACTGGACTGTTCTATTGGAACTAGTTCCAGTTCCAGTCCAGTCCAGTTTTTATGTAATTTGTTTAAAAAAATTTTATTGGCCATAGGTTTTATATAATTTGTTCATAAGTATATAGATTGCTAAATAGTGATGTATCTCTAAGATCCCAAAACTTCAAATTTTAATAGTTTAGATTTACAAAAGCCTTCTATTTTACCTTATTCTAGAAAAATTACTACCAGAAAGCTTGTATTACTAGTACCTGTTAAAAATTTTAATATCATGAAAAAATATATAAAAGATTAAGATTAAAGTTTTGAAATCATTCACAAATACTAAGATTAATTAAAGTACTATATATTGCTAAAATAAGTTACCCTAAAAATAAGTACCCTCTTTTGGTCAAATACTCAATAATGTCTTTGACCTGAAAATAAGCTAATACGATCGATGAAAGTTGCTACTAGTATTGTCATTGGACGTGTCCAACACTATGTTTTTGTCCAATGTCCAAGATTGTCTAAAACTGTCTAAGCCTGTGTCCAAGGCTTAAATAATTAATGAATTAATTTAATAAATATATAATTATATATTTTTTTAGGTGCTAGATTCATTTTTAGAAAAAATAAAATAGATAATATTAATAAAATTTTAAGTAATTATAATTTGAAAAAATGTCCAAGATGTCTACAAAAAACTACTTATTAATTA